GGATCATTCTTATTTGCAACTGTGGCCCTCTCTAGTACCCAGGATCCCTTCTGACCAAGCAGACCTGGCACAGCCTTGCAGGTACAATACCTGCCAGCCGCCAGTCTGTGCTGGCTTCCTGAGCCTGCACTGCCCAGAAAGGGAAGGGGGTAGTCTACTTAAGTCTACTTTTAAGTTACGGGCTGATGGTGTGACTCTGAATATCCCCAGCATAAACCCAGAACCTTGTAGCCTACGGTTAGTAGGAAGCCAGTGGCCTTCAGTGTCAGATGCATCTTGCCTAAATTCCAGCCCTGCTGTCTGCCCACAAAATGGGGGTGGTTCCTCAGCCTCTCTGAGCTTTGAGTTCTTCAAGATGTAACCTGGGCCAAGTGTTAGCACTTGGTAAATAGCCAATAAAGGGCATTCATCTAAAACCGGAGAAGCCAGGCATGGTGACACACAGGGGTAATCCCAGCACCCAGCAGGAGGATCAGGAGTTCAAGGTCATCCTCCCAAACACAGGAAGTCTATTAACACTTTACAGGCATTGTTTCATTTAACACTGCCCAGGAGGTTAGTAACTAACCTCATTTGCAGGTGAGGAGAGGTTTGAGACTCTGGGGTAGGTGCGTTGGAACAGTGGGGTTACAGTGAAGAGGGAATGCTGTTGGGTCTCTGAGGACCAGCTGGGACAGGGGAGCAGAGCATGGTGGCTCACAACTGTAATTCTGCACTCCAAGGCCAAGAGGTAGGAGAATTGGGAGTTTGAGATCAGCCTGGGCTATATAGTGAGTTCTAGGCCAACCTAGAATTAGATTGGAGACCTAGGAGACACTGTCTTTAAAAAAGAATTTTGGCAGGGGAGGGCTTATTATCATGACCTTGACCTGTCATGACCTTGGGACAAGACTGCTATAGGTTTTGGGGTCTTCAAGAGCCCTGAGCGCTCAAAAGGCTGCATACTCAGGCCTCATCCAGTCCACACTGAGAACACTGGGAAGGGGAGCAGAGCAGGGCCGAACAGAACCCACTAGTAAGTGCAGCCTAGTAAATGCAGTGACATCATCAGTGTGCAGCACAGGGCAGCCAAAGACTGTGTATTAAACCCTGTTGATTGCAGAAAACACAGGTTTGCCAGAACCAGGGCTTTGTTTCATTCCTGGCTGGTGTCTTACCCACTAGGCACTTACAAAATATTGCACAAACACGAAAAGACAGGAGCTGTTGAGTACCCGGGCCAGACATTGGGCAGAGACCTCCTTGAAGTCCTTTGGGTCCTCCTATGAGTGGACTTCAGAGTCATGGGGACTAGGGCACAGGTATGGGGATGCTGACCCTACACTATGTGCAAGAGGAAGACAGGATGGGAGTATGTTGTATCTATGTCCCAGTCACTGCGGGGACTGAGGCCCGTGGTCAGGTCCCAGAGCCAAGTTCAAGTTGACACCTTGGGAACCTTTGTCCTTGTGATATTGCTTGGTACAAATGGCACTCTTCTGAGGGACCTTAGGTTCCCTCAGAATCAGGCTGAATCCCCCACCCCATTATTCTAGGTACTTTTGGGGTGATGATGTCTGTGGTAGGCCTGGCCAGTGCCTGCCCAGGTATGGGGGATATGGTACAGGCATTCAAGTGGCCCAGGCCACACACACCTGTCAGCCCTAGCCACCTCATTCCTGGTTCTTGTGCCTCCCCAAACTTAAGGCCAGCTCTGGCCCATGCGGGAGAGCACTGCTCCAAGGAGCCCATTCATCACAAGGAATCCATGTCCTGAGGCTCTATTCAGACCCAGGCGCCAAAGAGGATCACACTTGGGTTTCTGAAGTCTGCCCACAGCTGCACACTCCTAACTTGGCCTGTGCTGGGCCCTGGCTTTCTGCAAGACAGGTCTGGCTGCTTGTTAGCCTATTGGTGCAGGCAGGACCAGCTAGGAATGACCCCACACAGGCACGAAAACCCAAGCTTATGTCAGCAGGCCTTGCTGCCTTGGCCCCTCTGCCCAAAGGCAGAGGGCCTGGTCCAACACAGGCTAGACAAGGTCATGCCCAGGTTCCCCATCCAGCCTCAGATTCAGTCCTCAGGGAGACCCACAGTGTCCTGTCATCTGTCTTCCCTGGCTGGCTTGGATGTGTAATTCCAGGGACAACCGTGGCCTTACTAATCTCCTTTCAGAGCCACCTACTGTCCAACCACCCTGTGTCTTCCTGTACAACTCTGTGAGAACAGAAGCTAGAACCCCTCCAGTCTGTTCATTCCTGTATTCCTGGGGCTTAAAATAATGTCTGAGACAGGTAGTATTTCTTAATATTTCTCCCTATGTAGCACAGACTGGCCCTGACCTCAACAATCCTCCCACCTCCTTCATGCGTTATCTGGACTCTCATCATCCTTTATGGAGCACCTCATCCTGCAGAGATTTGGCACCTACTACATGCCCTGTTCTATGCTAAGTGCTTCATGTCTGACACTTCATAGAAGCTTGCCTGCCCACTCCCTGACCAACTCCTAAGGTTGAGGGGTTCGGGAGGCCTAGGAATGTGCATTTTCATAGGCTTCCTCCCTCTTCCCTCCCCCACTCTTTAAGAAACACATTATTCTGAGAGTTGGACAGGCCTGGTCCAAGGCCTGGCCACTACTTTGGAGCTGCATGATCTTATGTGAGTGACTACACTTCTCTGAGCCTTCACTTCCTCCTCAGTAAACCTGGGACCAGAGTTGCCAGCTGTGTTGGCTTTGAGGCTGGACAGAGACTGGTTTCATACCACCATATGTGTAGTCCTTATCAACCCAGAAAGTGGCTCCTTTCCCTCAATCTGCTGGCCTCACACTACACCTGGCCCCCCACTCAGTCCCTTACATACACCAACTCTCCTCTCACTTTTCATTCTTGTACATTGACGTAAGCGTTGCTGAATCATGAGGCTGAGGTTTAAGAGCTAGATAGAGCGAGCATCTGCACCCTCCAGGCAGCCACACGGCGCGACAGACACACTGGAGTGCAGCTCCCAGGGGCTTTTAGGTCACCCTCTGTATGTCAGGATGGATTTTTTTTTTTTTTTTTTTTTTTTTTGGTAAATGACTCATAAAGGGAAGAAGGGGCCAACTCCGGGGAGTGTGAGGACAGGGGCCTTTATTCCAACCTGTTCTGCCTCAGGCTTTTTAGGGCAGTGGGTTTGTAGATCTAGACTTGTGTAATGAACATAGGACTTGCCAATTTTTTTTCAGATTAAGGAAATCCCCCTAGCATGCTGTGTAAACTACCTGCCAGATTCACCCCTGCTTAGAGGACCTGGTTCCTGTCTGCACTGGGGATGCTGACTGTACCAAGGTATCAAGTCAGAAGGTCCAGGTGAAGGGTGAATGCTTTACATAGGAGTCTAAAAGCCAAGCAGTTATTAGTGCAGCATCCGGGTGCTCGCCCAGTACAGGAGCCTTTTTTGTCCCCAGTCTTTTCCCAGGGGGTGGGACTTGACTCCCAGGTGGGTCTGAAGGCATCACTAGGACTGTCACCTGGTCCTCACACTGTCTGCCCTGATGAACATGCCCTTTCTCCAGACAACCAGAGAAACAATGGCAGAACCTCATTAATTCACAAAGCAGATATGGGAGCAAAAGAAGGAAAAGAAGGCAGGTAAGACATTCACCTCCATCCTCCATCCTCCCTCCCCACCTCCCTATCAGATTGGTCACCCTGGCCCTGGAAGTCTGCAGCCCTTCTAAGCCCAAGAAAAGCCTAAGCCATGCCAGCATGCTGAGTGGCTGCTTTCTCTGAAAGCTATCATTAAACACCCGGACAGCCACTTTAAACATGTCCCAGGCTGCAGGAACCCCAGCAACTCCTGAAGATGAAGTGGGACATGTTCAGGAGGCAGCTCAGCCCCAAACCCAGCTGTAATTCCGTCTACCAGGTGATGGGCAGTGTAGTCCCAGTTTCCACCCAACCATCTGTCACAAAGCCAGAGCTTTAGGTCCTTTCTGGTGCCCCTGGAGCAGCCCTCCCGCCTCCATACTGAACAAAGTCTCAAATTTCAGAGGCCCAGGGAGGCAAAGGGAATTGCCCGAGCCACCATCAACACAGGGGCCCCTGCCACCACAGACCACAAAGCAGTTTTCTGGCTCCAAAAAAAGTACACAAGGCAGAGTGGGGAGGGAAACAAGAAGTCAAGCCAGCATGGCTCATCACGGCTCAAATAGGGCTCTCTTGATGGCTTGCAGAACCTGCCACTCCTCCTTCCAAAAACTCGGCAAGCCCCCACCACCCAGCCCCCACGCTCTTCCTGGAAGTAGTTGTGGTCAGAGAAGCAAAGAAGTTTCCTCTCTGTCATCCATTTCAAACGATGCTGGGTGGATGGCCAAAAAGGCCCATCTCTCTGGCCCAGGAGTGGACACAAGAGCTTTGCTAGATTCGAGGGGCTGTCCCCGAAGAGTTAGCTCAAGCTGGGCTAGCAGAGAACAGGCAACTATCCCCACGAAACGCTCAGACTGGAGCCGCCATCTTCCCAAACAAACCAAAAGTAGCAGGGCCGTTTGGTCCCCAGAGCTGTGGGTGGAGCTGTGCAGGCTGCCCAGCCCCAAGCATACCCATAACCACTTGAGCAGCCCCTGTCCCCAACCCAGGACATCCTTTGGCAAAGCACACACTCTAGAATCCTTTTTTCTTTAAAAAAAAAAAAAAAACTTTCATAATAAAGTTTATTACCTAAACTGACTGTAAAAAATATAAAATAGGATGTTCTGCATAGCAGAAAAAAGAAACCAACAACCCCCCCTCCCCGAAGAGTTAGCTCAAGCTGGGCTAGCAGAGAACAGGCAACTATCCCCACGAAACGCTCAGACTGGAGCCGCCATCTTCCCAAACAAACCAAAAGTAGCAGGGCCGTTTGGTCCCCAGAGCTGTGGGTGGAGCTGTGCAGGCTGCCCAGCCCCAAGCATACCCATAACCACTTGAGCAGCCCCTGTCCCCAACCCAGGACATCCTTTGGCAAAGCACCCCCTCTAAAATCCTTTTTTCTTTAAAAAAAAAAAAAACTTTCATAATAAAGTTTATTACCTAAACTGACTGTAAAAAATATAAAATAGGATATTCTGCATAGCAGAAAAATGAAGCCAGAGACCCTCCCCCACCCCTGGTTTGTGCAAAGATACTGGGAATATGTAAACATGGAGAGGTAGGAATAGCGTTCAGGTCCTGGCCCCAGACACAAGCTGCTACAACAACCAGGGGGACCCAGAGGGAGCACCAGGAGGGGGGGCCCCCAAGAGGCGGGGAGGGGTCTCCAGCCTGGAGCGGGAGGCTCCTCGCCCCCCACACCCACTCCCTCCGACCCAGGCAGGGAGGGCTCCCATGTGGTTCCAGGAAAATAATAATTAATAATAAACAATACGGCGCCCCCACTTAATGCTGTGCGCACGGCGGGGCGGCCGATCAGATCTGGAAGGGGAAGGAACTCAGGTAGTCTCGGAGGACAGGGTTGAGGGGGATGCGCGCCAGGTTCTCTCGTCCCACGGTGGCCACGATGCGCTGGCGACACAGCTCCTGCAGCGGCCGCACGCGGCGCTGGCGCAGCGGGGCCCCCAGCATGCGGCGCGGGGCCGCCACGTAGTGCTCCAGCAGCTCGAAGAGGCAGTCGAAGGTCTCGCGGCTGCCATCCAGGTGGAAGCGACCGGCCTGGAAGTGCACGCGGATGCTCGTGGGGCCCGAGGCCATCTTCACGCTAAGCGCGAAGAAGCAGTTCCGCTGGCGACTGTCGCGCACCAGGAAGGTGCCCACCGGCTCGGCGCGCAGCCGCTCGTGCGCCCCGTGCACGCTCAGGGGCCCCCAGTAGAAGCCGCAGGCGTCCAGGAGCGCGCTGGCCCGCGTGATGCGCCGGTAATCGGCGTGGGAGCGGAACGTGCGGAAATGCGTGTCGCCGGGGGCCGGTGCCGGGACCGCCGGGCAGGGCCGCGGACGCGCAGGGACGGCCGGCGAGGACGAGGACGAAGATGAAGACGTGGACGAGGACGAAGGCTCTGGCCGCCGTCTGGGCTCTGCTGCCGGGGAGATCGCATTGTCGGCTGCCACTTGGTTGCGTGCTACCATCCTACTCGAGGGGCCAGCCGGTGGGGTGGGCCATAGCGTCCGGGGCTGCGCTGATGGGGGAGACAGAGGCAGTGAGCCGGGCGTCCGGGTGGCGCTGGCCGCCCAGCGGAGGAGCGGCGCCCAGGACTACAGGGAGCCGAGGGCGGGACACGGAGTCCGCCCGGCGCCTCTGAGCCTCGGTGGGCTCATCTGCAAAATGGGCTGTTCCCTGCTCCACAGAGTCCTTCCAGTCTCCGCACACAGAAGGGGGCGTGGAGAGGGGACCGACTCCGGGCCGTCCCGGTCGGTGGCTCTCCACCCCGCGGCCGCCGCCTGCTGGCCACGCGGGGGACTGGAGCCTGGGCCGGGCGATCTGGGCTCCAGGCAGGAGAAAAGGAGGCTCTGCGGGAGTCCCGCGCGCGCGGGGAACCGCCAGGAGGAGTGAGTGGGGCGGGGGCCAGGGGCGTGGCACTCGCGACCCCGCCACGCAGTCCGGGAGGCCGCTCCGGTCGGGCTTCGCTCCCCTTCCTCCCTCTGGTCCCCTCCCGTCTCCTCCGCAGCCGCTCCCCGGGCTCACCTGGCGGCGGGACGCGGGGCGCCGCGACTGGGGGCTCCGGGGCGGCTGTCGCGCATGCTCCGAGGCCGGGAGCCGTGCAGCTGCCACGGCCGCAGCTCGCTCTGGGGCTACCCGCCCCTGCATCAGGCTCTTAAGCGGGCGAGAAAGTGGCCCCGCCCCAACAGCCCCGCCCACCAGCCGCTTTCGGTTTCTCTTTCCGCCCGGAGCCTCTCGGTCGGTGCCCGCTCCGCTCTCCTGAGACCCTCCCTGAAGAAAGCGCCTCGACCTGACCCGATTGGCGCCTGTGCCTCCTGGGGCCCTGGCTCTGCCAGGGATCTTCTGGTCCCGGTCTCGGATGGCCCACTCTAAAGTGACCTAGCGCCCACACTTTTGCTCTGCTACCTTCGCCCCACATCCCTGCAGCCGGGCCTTGGGACGCGCACCCAGCGCGGACACGCCTTCTGGGCTCCAGGTGTGGCCGCGCCCTCTGGGGCAGGGCTCAGGCCTCGCCTCTCCGGAGCCAGCGCCCCCCTAAGAAGCTCCTCCCATCCGCGGCCCTTCCCGCCCAGAACCCAGAGGCTTGGGTGGTCCCCGCCCATCTCCGAGTCCCGAAAGCTGGCCTTGGATCCCGTCGCGGCGTCGGAACTCTGCGCGCGCCCCTCCCGTCGGCCGCCGGGCCTGGCCTCGGCTTGGGCTTCCCAGGAAGCGGCGGTGTGACCGCAGGCTTCAAAAGAAACCTAAGGCGGAGCGGGAGGGGCGCCTCCGCTCCGGGTCGAGTTCCTCAGAAACCGGGTGGGGTGGGGCTGGGCTGGGTCCCCAGCAGCCTGGACTCACCCTCCCTGCACTCCTACATCCTAGGCTTCTGGAGAAACTGAGGCCAGGGGAGGGGCTGTGATTCACAGTGGCTAGGAGATCTGGAGCTCCAGACCTGGCTTGTGTCCTTCCAGTTTGATTCGGGCACTTCCAAATGAACCCAGTGAAAAAATGGGGCGTTCTTAGCTGTGACTCCAAAACTCGGCCTCCCCTTCCTTTCACCCGTACAGACGGCCTTCGGGGAGGCTCCACTAAGCGTCTGCCGCACAAGGCCCCCCGCGCTCTGTGCATACCTTGTGCCAGGGCCTATCATTTGGACACTGTGGTTTAGTGATGTGTTTGTAGGTGCCTAGTTGGTGGCGGGTGTTTGTGAATGAAGGTGGGTGGGGAGCCCATTCTGGAGGTTCCCATGCATACCGCCTCACACTGGCGCACACTGCCCTCTACAGGATTCACTCAGACTGCAGCCAGGCGACTCAGATTAGGGTCTAGCTCCTCCTGGTCTCCCTGTTCCTAGACTGCCTCAGTTTCCCCAGGTTGAGCCCAGAGCCCCATGTTTCCTCATAAGCACAACGGGGTGTCCCCAAATTAACCTGTCTTGTGTTCCTTGAATTTATGTGGCTAGGGCTGGTAGTGATCACTAGTGTGGGAGAGAAGATGCTGAATTGTGCTGACCAGGGATGGAGCAGCTGTGGCCACGTGTTGGTAACACTTCACTGGTGTCTGGGTAGCAGAAGGTTTTGTAGTGGGTAAAGTCCAGACTTAGAGGCCAGGTTCTCGAGCTCTGTCACTTCTAGCCCATGACCTTGGACATGTGATTGCATGTCCCTCTGCTTCTGAGATGGGGTAACAGTGCCTCCCTCAGCTCTGTGGGCAATTCATTGCCCCTCTGTGCAAATTTCTTCCAGTAAGTACTTGCTCTTAATGCCATTGTTCATCTGTGGCCTGTTGGAGTCACAGACACATGACTTTGTCTTCCTCCTCCTCTTATTATTTGGTGTGTGTGTGGGGGGGGTTCTTTTAGTGTCTCATGTAACCCAGGATGGCCTTAAACTGCCCATGTAGCCAAGGATGACATTGAATTCCTGATCCTTCTGCCTGCATCTCTCTAGTGCTGGAATTACAGGTGTGTACTGCCATACTTGGTTTTATGCAGTCCTAGGGAATGAACCCAGGGCCTTGTGCATACTGGGCATGCACTCTACCAACCGAGCTACAGTCCCAGCCCCAATTATTATTATTCTTTCTGTCGTACTGAGGATTGAACCCAAGCTCTCATATATGCTAAGCAAAGGCCCTACCAACTGAGAACATCCCCAGCTCCATTGTGTTCTTTTAGAAGCCCCATTCTGGGGAGCACAGGCTGGAGAGGTCAAAGTGGAGGAGGAGTAGATAAGCTTCTTGGGTGTACAGCAGCCTCTAGGAGTTGGCAGCAGGAAGGCTGGAGCTGAGGTGGGTGGGCCTGCTAGGAGATGGCAAGACTGGACTGGCTTCTGCAGGTTTGTCTCTCTGCCGGGCTGCTTGGCAAGCCTCTACAGAAGTTCTATAAATAGCAAATGGTCCCCAGACCCCTCCCACCTCCTGGCACTTTTCAGCAGCTACTCTAGAGAGCTGCCCTCTTTCCTTCAGTCAGGGGCCTCCTTCCTTTAGCCCCCCTGTCCACTGGCCAGCCCTCTCCCACATCCCTAAGGACCTCACTTTTGCTTCCTTTATTGTGACCTGCTGACTCAAGCTGACTGCTAAGTGTTTCCCAATCCTTAAACCACTCTTGGGCCCAGCTGTACAGTCTGCCCATTTTATAGATGTGGAAACAATCATGTGTTCAAGGGCACACAACTCAGACATGGTAGAGTCAGGGTTCTTTTCCTGAAGTCTTTCCCCCATCAATGCAAACTCCTCCTTGTCCCCCTCTCCTGATGGTCTCCTTGCTGGTCTGTCTGCTGCTGAAGAATCAGAGATCTGGCCTTTGTCTCCAGCCTGCTTTCCTGCATCCCTAGGTCTGTCAGCTGAACTCCCACTTTCCCTTTTCCAGCCCTCTGAGTCTCAGTTTCCCAGCCTGTCCAAGGGGCCTGGCACCTTCCTTGAATCCTGACCAGGTTGCAAATTGCAGGGTGAGCCAGGCTGAGTCTGACCAGCCGCAGACAGTTTGGTTTCAGTTTCTAAAAGCTGTAAGTTCAAATAAAAACAAAACCAAATCCAGATGTCAGAGGGAAAAAGAAAGATGCCGAGGGACAACGCTTTCCAACTTTGGGTCACGTGGGGGCCCACAGAAGAACACACAAGAGCCCGGAGCACAGTGCCAGGAATACAGTGACTGGCACAGGTGACTTTTTGGTATCTTGTTTACTTGCAGTCTTTCCCAAGTGCTGAGATTGCAGGTGTGCTCCACCATGCCTGATATGTATACAGCTCTGGGAATGGAACCCAGGGCCTCCAGCTCTCCACCAGCAGAGCTTTTGTTTGCTTTTTGAGATAGAGTCTTGTTGCCTGTAGCAAGTTTGTTTACTGGACTAAATGCTGTGACTAAGTGCTGTGATCCCAAGCATGCAGACGATTTCCAGTCACTAGATGCTTCTGTGTCACCACCTTGTTGGCCACAGCCTGACCTGCAAGCCTCCTCTCTCAAATCAGACTCTTGTTTTTTCAGTTTCTCTTTCCAGCATTGGCAACATCCTGTTGAGAAAAGATTCCCCTTGTCAGCCCGTGTGATTTTGAAAGTGCTCCTTACTCAGTGGTCCTGGAGGTTAGGCGCTGTCCCTAAATGATAGTGCTGCTGTTTGTTGAATATCAGTTTGTCACTTTTAAGCATATGACCTGGGGCATGCTCCTTAATGTCCTCCTTACCCAATGCTCCTGGAGGTTAGGTGCTGTCCCTAAATGATAGTGCTGCTGTTTGTTGGATATCAGTTTGTCACTTTTAAGCATGTGAGCTGGGGCATGCTCCTTAATGTCTTAAATGCAAGAATGGGGTGCAGGGGAGTAGATGTCCTTTATTCCTTCATTTTGCAGCAGCTATTTACTGAGGACAAAGCAGTCTTTAGTGACATTCCAGATTGTACTAAGTACCTGTGGTAAATGGAGAGAGCGGGAAGGATTGAGTGTTTATGGGGCGAGAGAAGGTGGGGGGGGCTTAGAGGCGGTAACAAGGCACTGAGGCCTTTGTGAGAGCACAATGAAGGGGACTCAGGTGACGGGAACAGCTTGTGGTAGGGGTTACTGATAGAGAGAGCACAGGAACAAATGAAGGGGTGACATGCAGAGATCCTGTCCATCAGGTCAGACCTTGGTTGGAGAGCAGGGAAGGGATTTTTACCCCTAAGCAGTGTTGACAAGCCGTGGGTGTGTCATCCCAGTACTTGGGAGGCTGAGGCAGGAAGATCATGAGCTCTAGGCTAGCCCGTGCTACAAATCAAAAGAACAAAAGCAAACAAAAAAGCAAGGTCAGGGCACAGGTGGTACTGGGTGAGAAAGGAGCCTTCTGTTGCCTGCCTTTCAGACCCCTACAGCAGTCCTGTCTAAACTTCCTGGGCCTGGAACAAGGACAGTCCAGATGAATATGGAGACATCTATCTGCACCTTAGAACAGCAATGCACACTCTGGCCAGGGTTCTGCTTTCTACCTTGTCTTTCCAGTGGAGTCTAGAAAGCCACATTCCTGGAGGTAGGAACCCTTACAGGACCAGAAGGGAGAGATCAGATACTGGATTCCACGAGTGAGAAATCCCAAACTGGGAGTTAAAAATCCCAAACTGGAGAGACTGGAAAGTGCTCTACAGGCTGTATGGCTGACTTCAAATTAACTTCTTCTGGTGGCCTAGGAACTGTCCCCAAGCTGGAGCATGGGAGGCCTTTCCGTCAGTAAATCTCCCAGGCTCAGGGACCTACTGTGTGCTGTTCAATGGTCCCCACTCACTTCCACCTCTACCACATCTCCTGACCACAAAAAAAGACCATTCTCTCTCCTGGCTGATTCCACAGGGCTCCAGTGGAAAAGGAATGGCGGAGGGGGTGGTGCTAGGGATTAAATCATCCCTGAATCATACCAGGGTCTGTCCTTCTTTGCCTCCCTGACCCAGCCTAGGACCAGGGCCAGGCTGCCCTAATCAGAGGCCTAGGCATCAGGGTTACCCTAACACACACTGTGTGTGTGTGTGTGTGTGTGTGTGTGTGTGTGTGTGTGTGTGTGTGTGTGCCTGTACCACAATGTGCATGTGGCGATTAGAGGACAACTTTCAGGAGTAATTTCCTTCCACCATGTGGATCCCAGGGATCAAACTTAGGTCATCAGACTTGACAGCAAGCACCTTTATCCAAACCATCTCACCAGCACCTTTACCCACTGAACCGTCTCAACCAGCCCATAAATAATCTGTGGCTGATTTAGTCTCCCCATCATGTTAGGGTGGCATGTGCCTATGCATGCAGGCCTGCATGTGTTTGTGTGAGTGCTTGTGTTAGGCATGTGAGCATGTAGGGATTTGGGCATGGGTATCCATATGCTCATACCACTTTGCCACTTTTGGGGGAGCGGTTGAGTCCCTGTAGCCCCAGCCTCTGCCTCTGCCTCCCAAGTGCTTCGATTAAAGGCATGAGCCACCACTCCTGGCCCCACTTTACACCATAGCGTCTTTTTATTAGTGGGAGAAAAAAAAAAAACCACTGCTGACTCAAGGATAGTCTTCCAGGGTACAAGCTTTAATTTGTGTGGCATAGAAATTGCTGTAAAACGTTCCTGTGAGAAGATCAAGGTCATCCCAGCATTTCCCTAGTGGTGGCTGTCTCCTTGAGGTCAAACGGACAGACACAGGAACCACCTCTGGAGTACATTCTCACTTGTATCTTCGCCCTAAAGGACAAAAATGGGAAAAGGGGCCTTTAATAGCTGAATGCTTCACCATCCACTTATTCCTCCATCTGTCCTCCAGCCATCCAAGCTAGCCAGCTGCCCTCAGCAGCCTGTAGCCTTTCTGGAGCTCCCTCTGCCCTGCCCCCAGGCTGCAGCAGACTGCCCCCATCACTCTACTAGGCCAGGTACCTGAGCTCCGCCTCTTAGCTCCGTGTGTCCTCTTGCGCCTTCTGACTGCCTTTCTCTTGTTCACCTTTCCTTCCAAGGTCTTCCTGTTCCTTGGGCAGCTGCCACAGTGGCTGGGCCTTGGAGGAGTGTGGCGAGAATGCATGGTCTGTTTAGGGTGCCTCGGTGGTGGGCTGGGGTTGGGGCGGCAACTGGTGCTCCGATGGTTGGCTGGGCTGCAGCTCCGGCAGCGGCGGCCACAGTTGCACTGGTTACAGGTGTGGCCTTGGGGCCAAGAGGTGCTGTGGGGATGGGGGTGGGTGGTGGGAAGGCTCTGCATCTTGGTGTCCATGGGGGGGCCACACTTGGAGGCACAGAGACCTCCTCTTCCTCCTCCTGTTCTCCCAGCAGGCCCAGCTTTGGAGAGTGTCTGCAGTCTTGGTTTATGTAGCTAGGCCAATTATGATGGCATAGGCCAAGAGGGTGACAGATACAGAAAACCCTGTCCCTCACTCTCATCCCAGGGCAGGGCAGCCCTCAGGGTCCTGTGGGGTGGGAGATCTCATCTGTGGATCAGATATGCTTCATCACCACTCCATGTTACAGTTTCCCCAGCTTTGGAATGGGGACGGTAAATTGTATCCACCTCACAATGACAGTGACGTTATGAGGATTAACAGACAATCTATGTCACCAAGGTTAACTCAGGCACAGCCTGCAGTCACTGCTCCATCTAGACCCCTGACAGCTGCCATAGTCTTCCTTTTCCACTGGGCTATCTGGTGCCTAGGGCTGCCCTGGCCCACCATAGGAGGTGTGGCGGGTAGTGAGAATGAGCCGGTGTAGCCTGATGTGGCAGCATCTTGGACTGATGAGTCAGCCAAATGACTGGGGTCCTTGATGGGGTTCTTGGGCTGTTTGGCAGGCCCACCTCCCCAGCAGCCTTTCCAGATAGGAGATTGCAGGTCGGGTTTAAATTCTACTTTGTATCAAAGTCTGATCTTGGGTATATCATGGGATTTCCTTAGCCTTATGTGAGCTCTTCCCTGGCATTATGAGCCTGAGATGCTGGCCCTTGAGTCCTGGCTGCCACCCAACACTACTCATCCTCAAGAAGCTGGGCTCAGTGAGCAGTTTGTATTATGCCCTGCAGGCCTTCCCTGGCCTTCAGCCACTCCACCAGAGCTACCTTTGCTCTGAGACTTGCCTCTGTGCCTCCATCTCTTTTCCTGTCCACATGCCCAAGCTCCCATTCCATTACCCCAAGTAACTGCCTCTCACCATGATGCCAGCATTCAGTGTCATTGGCCTTTATCCAAGTTCAGTTTTTTAAAGTGTTTAATATTACATTGATGTGTGTGTTTGTGTTCAGGCACACAGGCCAGGCTGCACATGAGGAGGTCAGAGGGCAACTCTCAGGAGTCAGCATGGATCAGTTTTCTCATCAGGCTTGGTGACAACTGCCTTTATCTGCTGAGCCATCTCGCCAGCCCAGCCCTTTTGTATTTGTTTGTTTTTGAGACAGCCTCATGTAACCTAAGCTGGATTTGAACTCACTGTATAGCCCCTACCTTCCAAGTGCTGGGGATGACAGGTGTGTGCCACCCAGCTCTAAGTCACTTCTTAATAAACATGCCAGATGGGCTATGAAATGACATAAAAATCCACCTTATTTACTGAGCCCCCCTGACTAGCTAAGTCAGGCTAGTTTGCTAGGCTGCTTTGCCTGGTTGCTGAATGGTAGGCCTCCAAAATCTGTGTCCACAATCTAACCCTATGATTAGAAGCCTGCCAATATGACCATATTTAGGTGTATTGAAGCCAAGAACATGAGACTGCCAGACCAACTGGATGGGCCTTCACGTTCACTGGCGAAAGTCTTCACACAAGGAGGAGACCTACAATTGATGAAACTGAGGGCTGGGGTATGGCTCAGTGGTAGAACACTTGCCTGGCAGGTGCAAGGTCCTGGGTTTGATCTCTAGCCCTGCAAAATAAATTATAAATACAAATGAAGTAGAGGTTGGGGGTGCTGTAGCCATAAGCCCATAGTACCTAGAGCAGCAGCTAGTGAACCTGCATTCCAGAATTGAAGCCTCCAGAGCTCTGCATGTGGCAGAATACCCGTGAGGCAGGCTCTGCGCTTGCACTGCACCAGAACAGGCTCAAAAGGCTGAGCAGACAGCCCTGAGGCCCCTGTAGCTCCTAAGGGACAGCTGGCCTCCCAGCTCCAATCCACCAGCTTTCCTTTCCCAATCACTGTCCTCACCATGGCTTGCTGGAAGGAGGCTAGGCCATACTGGAAGGCCCTTCTTGGTCTCTGCCTCTTCTTACTGCTCCTCCTCCTTCACAGAGCCCCACCAGCTCTTCCTAAAACCCATTCCTACACTCACCAGGCCCTTTGCTCCTCCCCTGTGGTCTATCACTGGGCTTTACTACCTTGGCAAATGAGCAGATACTGGACTCTGAGAGAGTGAGGCTGACTGGAGGAGGCCCCTGTGGCATGGTGGGTGAGAGCCAAGGGGCAGGCTCCCCCCTTTGTCCCTCTTCCCTACCCCTGCCACCCAGAAGCCACAGCAGTAGCCTCACCTTCTGACCACCTGTGCCCCTGCCCCCTCCATAGCAGCCAGTGTAGCCTTGATGTGCCTAGAGGCTTGAAGAACTTCCTAGGACCAGGATAGGTCACACTTGCTGTTTTAAGTAGAACTGGTCAGACCCCCAACAACTTCTCTTTGCACATTAATTCACAGACCAGAACCTGGGCTTGCCTCTGTGCCCAGGAAAGTTATCCAGGGTTACTGTCTCTGTCTACCACTGGACCCCTTGGCAAAAGGAGTATCCAGGGAGGAAGGACATAAACTTCCCATGTGAGGGTGACAGCCAAAGAATTGGGCTAAGAAACAGCAACATCTTCCCTTCAGGCACTTGGACATCTAAAACCCCATTGACAATATATATCCCATATATCCCAGGGTGGCTTTGACCTCCCTGTGTAGCCAAGAATGACCTTGAACTTCTGATCCTCCTGCCTCCAGTTCCTGAGGGATTACAAATATGGACCATCAGGTATGGACCATCTTGCTAGGTTTATGTAGTGCTGAGTACTGAACCCAGGCACTATATCCTGTATTCAAAGCAGCAAAATGACAGCTGGGCCTCCAGAATGGGGAGGATCCCAGGCCCCTCATCATTACTCTGCCTTGGTGGCTCTCCCCTCCAGGAACGT